TCCACAATGGTGGCACCAGTCTACACTCACACCAACAGTGGAGAAGGGTTCCTTTTCCTCCACAGCCCCACCAGCATTTGTTGTTGGTTGATTTCTTGATAACAGCCACTCTTTCTGCAGCTGGAATTTCAGTATTGATTTAATTTGCATTTCTCAAATGACCAGTGATGCTGAACATTTTTTCATATATTTATTTGCCATCTGTACTTCTTCATCTGAGAAGTGAGTATTCATCTCAGATGCCCATTTTTGGATTGGGTCTTCAAATTTGGGGAGTCTGCTTTTTTTTCAATTCTTTACATGTTCTAGACATTAGTTCTTTGAGGAGCAATGGGCTAAAATTCTTTCCCACTCTGTGGGTGGTCTTTTCACTCTGTTGGTGATTTCTTTTGCTATATGAAAGCTTTTTAATAAGATGAGATCCCAGATGTTGATTTTTTGTGATATTTTATGTGCAGTTGGGGTTTTGTTCATGAAGTCTTTGCCTACACCTATGTCTTCAAGAGTTTTACCTATTCTCTCCTCTAGCAGACTTAGTGTTTCTCTTTTAATATTTAAATCTTTGATCCATTTCTATCTTAGTTTAATGCATGGTGAGAGACTTGGGTCTAGTTTCAATCTTCAGCATGTGGAAAGCCAATTTTTCCAGCACCACTTATTAAAGAGGCTATCTTTCTTCCAGTGAACATGTTTGGCCTGTTTGTCAAAGATAAGGTGGCTGAGTGTGTTTGGGGTTGTTTCTGCATCTTCTAGTCTGTTCCACTGATCCTCAAGTCTGTTTTTGTTGTTTTGTTTTTTGCCAGTACTATGCTGTTTTTATCACAATAATTCAGTAGTATAATTTGAAGTTGGGGATTGTGATGCCCCCTGCCTTGCCTTTGTTGCCCCAAACTGTTTTTGCTATTCTAGGTCTCTTCTGGTTCCAAATGAATTTTAGGCATTGTTTTTCTAATTCTGTGAGGTATGTTAAAGGTATTTTGATTGGTATTGCACTAAATCTGTGTAACAATTTTGGAAGTATGGCCATTTTCATGATGTTGGGTTTTCCTACCCAAGAGGAGGGATATCTTTTCATTTTCTAATATCCTCTTCGATCTCCTTTTTCAGAGTACTGTAATTTTCAATGTAAAGATCTTTTATTTCCTTTGTTAGATTGATTCCTAGGTATTTTTTTATGCTATTGTGAAAAGTATTGTTTCCTTAATTTCTCTCTCAGTGAGTCTGTTATTTGTGTACAGGAATGCTATTGATTTTTTTTTTTTTAATACCGGTGATGGAACTCAGGACCTTGTGCTTGCGAGGCAGGCAGGGGAACCACTGATCTAAATCCCCTGTCCCTGCTATTGATTTTTGGGTGTTCACTTTGTGTATAGCTACATTACTGAATTTGATTATTAAATCTAGAAGTCTTTTGGTGGTGTTTTGGAGGTCTTCTATGTAAAGTATCATGTCATCTGAAAATAATGGTAATTTAACTTCTTCCTTTCCTATCTTTATTCCTTTTCTTTCTCTTGTCTAATTGTTCTGGCTAATGTTTCTAGAACTATATTAAATAGGAGTGGTGATAGTGGACATCCTTGTTTCTGATTTTACAGTGAAAGCTTTCAATTTTTGACCATTTAGTATATTGTAGGCTGTTGATTTGTCATAGATGGCTCTTATCAAGTTGAGATAAAGACCATCTAAATTTTCTGTAGGGTTTTATCATGAATGGGTGTTGGACTTTGTCAAATGAATGCTTTTTCTTTGTCTACTGAGATAATCGTGTGATTTTTGTCTTTGGCTCTGCTGATATGGTGTATCACATTTATTGATTTGCATATGTTGAACCATCCCTGCATCCCTGGGAAGAATCCTACTTGGTCATGGTGTATACTCTTCTTGATGATTTGCTGCATTCTGTTTGCCCATATCTTATTATTTTTTGCATCTATGTTCATTACGGAGATTGGTCTGTACTTCTCTTTTTTGGTTAGATCTTTCTCTGGTTTTGGTATCAGGGTAATACTTGCTTCCAGGAATAATTTGGGGAGTACTGCTCCCCTTTCAATTTCATTAAAGAGTTTGGAGAATAGTGGGATTAGATCTTCTCAAAACTTCTTGTAGCATTCAGCAAGGAAACCATCAGGACCTGGGCTTTTCTTTGTTGGTAAGTTTTTAATTACATTTTCAACTTCATTGACTGATATTGTTTAACCCCAAATTTAAAGAATTAAAATTTGTACTTTTTCTTCTTCCTCAAATCTTTTTAACTCAATTTCTGTAAGTCATCTCATGTATTTTATTGACTTTCCAATGAACATTCAAAAAATCTTTCACATTCTCTCCCTCCCTCTCCAGCCCTGCAGCTCATCCTTAGTCTTAATCTGGTTCTCTTTAATTTTCACTTTCTCTTTCTCCTTCATTGCCTAAATCAAATCTCTGAATGGACCTGCATTTTTCCTTCTAACTGGTCCTTGGCTTCATTCTGCATCACTGTTTCTGTTATCCATCTAGTTAGACCCTGACTACCACAGACAGGAATTTTCATCACCTCTTCCTGTATCGCTTCATTTAATCTTCTCTCCCACTTCAATCTATCCTGCATATTTTGCATATTTTCTCCAGAACTATTTTACAAAATACCACTTAAATCTCATCAATATCCACATTTGAAAGGGCTCCTTTAGTATACAAATCAAAACCAAACCTGATTCTTAAAGAGTACCCCACTTTTCAACTTCTTAATCTTCTTTTGCACCCAAAAGACTCCATTAGTTTCCCTACTGTCTTCTATCAAAACCATGCTCCCTCCTACCTCTGTACCAAAAGGAACCCCGCCCCAACTCCATTTATGTAAACTCTAACCACCTTCTTATGCCTGATGCCAGACTCCTCCGGGAACACTTCCCTGACCTCTGTAAACCACACTGATCCCTCCATCTTCTACATCCCTCTCATACCCTTAAATTCAACACTATAGTTTAACAATTAATTGCCAACTGATTTATGTGTGAGCAATCTCCCTCACTACTAGAATGCTTCTTAAAAACAACTATCATACTCTCCATTCATTCTTTCTTCCACTCCCATAGAATTTAATACAGTCATAGCAACCAAGTAAGTACTCAATAAATCACTCTGTAATTACCACTAAATATATACTATGACAAAGCAATTTCACTTACATATTTTTTCCTTTGATCCTAAATTATGTCTCTGAAATTTGTAAGGTATTTCTTCCGACATAGCATGAGAAAAAAAATCATTAAATTTACTCATAAGGCCTAGACATGAGTAAAAATCTCACTATTTTGTCACCTGTGTACCTTGGGAGGAAACCCTAGTCTTTTTGAGACTCTCAGTCTTACAATAAACTTTTGATGCAAAAAGACAGGCTTATATTTTAAAAGGTCAGCACTACTGATGGCTTAAAACATATTTTTAGCTGAATTAACAATCACAATGAGGTAAATTAATAATTCTGAAGAGAATATAAGAAGAAACTACAGCTATGTCTGATTTCACTTTCTATACTATTGAGACTTTCAAAAATATTACATATAATATTTAAATATTATTGTTATGAGAAAACTATACTTATTTAAATAGATATTATCTATTGCTTATATTCCAACATATTACAACAGACATTTAAGAAGAGCTAAAGGGAGGGTGGAAGACGAGAGGAGGGGATTGAAAAGAATGAAGATGTGCTAAGGCCAACTCCCCAGATGAATGTAATCACTGTGTTCTGCAAACATGAGCTGACCAGGGCCGGGGAGTAGCTCAGTGCACTGCGCCTGCTGCGCAAGCACAAGGTCCCGAGTTCCATCCCCAATACCAAAAAAAAAAAACAACTACTAAACAACAAAATCAGTGAAATAGGTAAGTGATTTCAGAAGTGTGATCTGTGGACCAACATCATCATCAATACCTAAAACCTCTTAGAAATGCAGACTCAGGGCAACCTCAGATCTACTCAGCTAGATAGGGCCAGCAATCCCATGTATTAGCAACCACTAATGTGTGGGAACTGTGAACCAAATTACCATGTAAATGTGATACCTACAAGGTCATTCAGATTTAGATCTTATCCAGAAAAATATTTTTAATTCCCTTAACTTATCAAACGTTGACTGAAAGGGCAATAAGCTGCCTCAGCAATGTAAATGAGAAACTCACTGACAGCTGTCACCACAGAAAATTGATGCTAAGTACTTACAAACTTGCAAATATTCCCAAAATATGAATCAGAACAAGTGATTAAGAAAATTGTTTCCTCACAGGGCGCACTTTTAAAAATTATCAGAGTTGGGAGTGTTATGGAAGGAGCAAGCAAGCATGTGAGAGTCAATCTCTCATCTTCACTACGCCAGCATTTAGTTGTAGCCCAAGTTGTCCAACTGCTGTGGTAGGTAGGACACTGCACCCTGAGCAGGTCACAGGCTTGGGCACCCCAGACTTTCAGTTCTGTAAACTGTCCCACACCACCTGGGAACACCAAAACACCCACTGCTGGCTCAACTGGTCCAGAGGCACTTTATCCACTTGTCTTTATGCACTGCTCAAACACTGTGTTACCAGTTTCTAACAGTGCATGATAATGGGTGGAAAAAAGTAGAAAATACTCATCTAACCTCTTCTGCCAATTCATTGAGTGGGATACTTTCCCAAAGCGTAATTCAAACTGGCTTTGAAAAGAAAAGTAAGTGTATTGCTTAGTTTGACTAAAAAGTGTAGAATTAGATTTGGCATCAGATCAGTAATGTGGCCAGCACCTGATTGTTACTCTTCACATTTTTCTGTGCTACTTCAATCCCCAACATTGACTACATTTCAAAGGCTATCGGTCAGTTAGGCGACAGCCAAGACCAGACTCCAAGCAAGACCAAGACTGTAAGCTCTACACATCCTTGGTCCTTCCTGCAACAAGGAGAGTCTGTGTCCTGACGAAAGTCTTGGGGCTCCCTATTTAGGCCCGCTTGGGTAACATTCCCAGAACTGAACTGGTAACTAACCTCAGGGTGTTGATGGAAGCACAATTCCACAATCTCAGCCTTCACCACTGGACATGAATCAACCCAGGTCAGTCTCACAAGCGCCTCAGGCCTGAGGGAGTGAGCAGGAGGGTTAAGGGAAACACGAGGTGCTGTTGTCAGAAAAGGAAAAGCATGTATGTAGATCAGTGAACACTGCTTTCCATAAATCTCCAAATAAGCTAAGACACAAGATTTTAAATGAATGTTTTTCTTCAGATTAAAAGTGAGGCTGCCCGAGTCAATCCCTGGTACAAAAAACAAAAAAAAGTGAGGCCAGGGTGTAGCTCAGTGGTTCCGCTGCCTGCCTCGCAAGCGCAAGGTCCTGAGTTCGATCCTCAGCACCAAAAAAACAAACAGATTAAAAGTGAGTGCCCTACTAGTAATCTTTAATATTGTATATTAAAATAACATTTTTCACCTTATCAGATTCACAAAAGTTTTTTTAAAATTACTTAGAACTACCAAAGGAATGGTGGAAAAGACATTCAAATAGTTCTGGTAGAAACAGAAGCAATCTTTTAAAAAAATTTACAATGTCTCAGTCATGAATACACAGATCCACTGACTCCACTTGTAAGAATCTACTCAAAAGAAACAACTCCTAAATTCAGAAAGTTTCCTGTTGACAAGTGTTTACTACTAAATACTTATTAATAAAAATAAGGAAAAAATAGAAACAACCTAAATACACAGTAATAAAAAAGCAGTCAATTATCACTATCTAATGGAACATATGCCTGTCAGGCAAGCACTTTATCATTAAGCAACACAGAGCAGAGAGCTGAAGATCAAAAGACATTTGAGGGAAAGTGTCTAAATTCAAAGATCAAAACAAACAAAAACTAAAACAACAATTCAGAGGAAGCAAAGAATAAGCCGTGGGAACTTTTACAAAAGAAATAGTATTAGTATTCTTATTAAGAAAATGTCACCCTAAAAGGAAGATTCACAGAAAGAAACAGTTCTTTCAATAATTAACAGAGTAGAAATGTTAAAAACCAACAGAAGAGTTAGAAGACAAATTTGAAGAACTCTTAGCTGGGTGTAGTGGTATGTACCTGTAGTCCTAGCACCTGAGCCCAGGAGTTGGAGGCTGGCATGGGCATTATAGTGGCAGCCTTTCTAAAGGGGGCAGGGTCAAGGATGGACAGAAAGGAGGGAGGGGAAAAAAGAAAAACACTCCTGCCTCGCAAGTGCAAGGTCCCAAGTTCTATCCCCAGTACCAAAAAAGAAAGAAAGGAAGAAATCTCACAAAAAGCCAAAGAAAAAACTGAAGAAAAAAAGGCTTACAATATTAGAGAATTAACCCAAAAGTTCCAATAATTGTTCCCTAGAAGTCCCAGAAAGAGATGTACTGATAAACTGGGAAAAAACCCAACAATTTTCAAAATCAATTTTCCCAAAACCAAAAATTACGATTTTGTACATTGAAAGAATCCATCAAGTGCCAGCACCAAAACACATCATGGCAAAATAACTGCACTAGAAAGAACAGAAAGGGCCAGGGATGTAGCTCAGTCGCGCCATGCCTGCCTGGCAAGTGCAACGTCCTGAGTTCAAACCCCGGTACCAAAAAAAAAAAGAAACAACGGAAAGATCCTGTAACAGTGGTGGTGAACGCAGAGACCTGTCAGCACGGGACCCAAGTTTCCCCAGCAGCTGAGCATCAGATAACAGTTGTTTTTTTCTAAGCTAAAACTTCAGGACTCAGGTTTAATTGCAGTGTTGGCACTTTCCCATAAATAAATGGGTTGGGGTTGTTGGGCCATTTGGTCTCTAAAAGTTTTGCCATCACTGTCCTATAAGTTTCCAGACAGGAAAGAATTTGTTCATAGAAAGGACCACAAATTACACTGGAGTTTTCAATATCCAAAATGGAAGCTAGAATAAAGAAACCAAGACCTCCATCTTAAGGGAAAATGATTGCCACACTGGAATTTTACCAGCTATGCCAAATGTGATGATAGAAGGTATTTTCAGCCAAGCAGTATCCAAAACAATTTATGTTCCATGCGCTCCTTCTCAGAAAGCTACTTAAGGGTTTCTAAGACAGAGGAAAATAAGGGATCCAAGAAATAGAGCATCCTTGTCTTGGTCTCTTCAGGGTGCTGTTATAAAACACCACAGTCTGGGAAGCTTATAAATAAGAGAAATTTCTTTCTCAAAGTTCTGGAGACGGGGAAGTCCTACACCAAAGTGCTGGCAGATTCAGTGTCTGGTGAGGTGCTGCTTCCTGGTGCACAGACACCCAGCTTCTTGCTATGTCCTCACATAGGAAGGAATGAAGGAGCTCTCTGCAGTTTCTTCTGTAACAGCACTAATCTCATTCATGAGGGCTCTGCAATCCTAATCCAAGGCCCCACTTCCCACTACTACCATATTGGGGGTAAGGGTATGAATTGGGGTGGGGGGCACAAACACTCAGTCTACAACAATCCTATGGGAGAAAGGAGAGGAACCTGAGGATGGTGAAAGAGGAACCTGAGATGACATCTGTGTAGCAAAGGGAGCCCCCAGGCCAGACTGGAGTGGATCAGCAGGCTCTGACAGCCACTCCCTCATCACAATGAAATTAACGGACTCCTGTTTTTAAACCACAAGTAAGAGTTTTACTGAAGAGTCAGAGGTTGAATTAATAATGAATACATTAAAAAATAAGCAATGAGGAAAAGTAAGACAGCCCAAGGTGACCAGGGAAAATAACCACAGGATACGAAAATGGTTCAGCTATGAATCACATTTACGTAGTCATAGTGTAAATACTGATACAATCAAGAGTAGGAGGTAATTATACAGGGAGAATGGCTGACATGCGAAGAGGGAAAGGTTAGAGCAAAAGATGGAAGAAAGCCACGTCACTCTTCATTACAGGAATTTGCAACGGCTGGGTGTGGTGCACACTAGTAATCCCAGCACTTTGGGAAGCTGAGGCAGGAGGACTGAAATTTTGAGCCCACCCTAGACAATTTAGCAAACTTAGAAACATCTTGTCTCAAAATTTTAAAAATACAATAAGGGACTGGGGAGTTAGCTCAGTGGTTCCACTGCCTGCCTCGCAACCACAAGGTCCCAAGTTCGATCCCTGGTACCAAAAATAAATTAATTAATTAAACAAAATAAGATCTGGGAATATAGCTCAATGAGAAAGCTCTGGGTTCAATCCGCAATAGTGCAGAGACAGGGAGAGGGAAGAGGACAAGGGGGTAAGGGGAGAGAGAGGTGAAGACAGAGACAAGAGACACAGAGAGAGACAGACAGAGAGATTAGGTACAGTGTAAAACTTAAAATTTGAAATATCAAGACCAATGCTAAGGATATTATTTAGAGATATGCAAGTAATCAGCTAATATAGTTTAAAGTACAGTAATTGGTCTGGAGAGGAGAGAATGCCAGGTGAGATCCCTACTTTTCTGAACAATCCTTGCAAAAGAATGAGTGGTTTTGTTCCCCTTTTTTATAAAAAGTATAGACAACTTCTGTAATGGAGGGGGAAACTTTATTGCACGCTTTAAGTTGGTTCAGAACACTTAGAGATATATAAAATCAGTTTAGTTGCAAATAATATTTCTTATATAAAACAGATTAAATTAGAATGTATCAGCAATTTTCACATATGCTATTTTATAAAGCTTTCGTTTTAATTATATGTAAATATATATATATGTATATAGATCATCATGTGAACTATATTTCTGTGGGTCACTGTCAAAAAAAGTTCTATATGTTGTTACAGACAGCATGATAAGGTGAGAATTATACCAGTCTTGAAGTTTTGTGGTGAAATATTATCTTTGGTATGTGCTTTTAAAAAAGACACACATTTTTGCAGATTCCTGTAATAGCATCCACAACACATGTGAATTAAATTTTTTTTACCCCTCTAGGTTTCAGCCTCCTCATTTACAAAGCAGGGATAATGATAGTCACTTCACAGAGTGGGAGGACTAAGAGAAGTAATATATGCAAAATGCTGCCTCACAGAGAGGTTAAAAGCCAGTGAAGTAACACTTGGGCTGTGCAGCTCAGTGGTAGAGTGCTTCCTAGCATGCATGAGGCTCTGGGTTTGATCCCTAGCACTGCGAAAACAAAACAAAACCAACAGTGAGAATGTTTATATATATAAAACACATCATTTTTGTCACCAAAAAAGATATATGATAATCAATTTGACGCTTCATCTCTACTGTACTCTTTTTTTTTTTTTTGGTACCGGGAATCAAACTCGGGTCCTTGCAGTTGAGCAGCAGGCAGCAAAACTACTGAGCTAAATCCCCAGCCCTCTATTGTACTCTTAACAGATTAAAATACTCTCACAAATCAGTACTATTTTTATTATAGGACTCTCCAAAAATACATGTTCTTTCCCTTATTCTGGACCACAATTTGAATAAATTCAAACAATGATTCCATGTGGGAAACTAGCCATTAAAAAATACTTAACCTTTAATTTTAAAAATACTATACCTTTAAGATTTGGCTCAAATTGTTACTAATGAACCCTTATAAGTAGTTCACTTACTTATGGTAAATTAAAATAAGTATATTATTTATAATATTCACAAATATTATGTTATATTTACAGCATATAATACATTTATATATTCATTATTTAAAATATTTTAAAGTACATTTAATATATTATGAACTGCTTTAGGTATTAGCTCAGTATTCACCATATTACTGATTTCATATTTCATAAGTATTACATTTTGTAAAAATGTTTTTTTAAAAAGAACATAATAAAAATCTTATTTTACCACAATTTAAGAGCTGTAAAGACCTTTATATCTTTGAAGGCATTTATTAAAAATTACATTTTAAATACTCTATAGTGGAAAGTAAGTTAGCCTATAATCCTGATAGGGGTCAGAGTCATAACACAGAATGGACAAATTACACTGTCATTCTACTTAAATTATTTAAGTTATTTAATTTGACCTGTAGATAGTCTCTTGTCTTCTCATCATGCCTGACTTTTAAGTGGGAGGTCTTCATTCATGATGATCCTTTAATGGAAGCAAAGCTTTCTCCATTTAACCCATGCTGTTATCAATCATGTACAGGGATAAATGAGCCTGTACAATTTTGCCAGTATCACAAATGACA